GACAGGTTGGTGTATCACAGATCTGACCATAGCTTACATACTCCGTCGGTTTGAAATATGGAAAAAACGATATTTCAGTTGATCGCAACAGCGTACGAAGATTAGTGGTACGGACAGGTTAATAACTGTCATTTCTAGTATTAACCCGAGGTCACCAACGAAGCTGTACTTAACGGGAACAGAGCATGAAAGCGATTATAACTTTACTTACCGCGAACAAGTTATATCTTAATGACTCATAATTGAGAATGACAACGTTGGCTCGACATGATGAAGCAAAAATAAATATTTGGAGACCTAATGATCAGAATATGCAATTCCAGCTCCATAACAGCATGCTAATTAACAAGCGATGCCTCAAAGGCATGAACGAACGCTATGGAAGCAGTGAAAGGGCAATGCCATATCATCATGCTTGCACGTTAGACAGGCCAGTTATAAGAATTTTGAACGGTCGACTGAAAAAAACGTCGTAAAAACCATGAAATGCTGGGTGCTTCAGCCGTTTGTTGATGAGCAGTAACAAAAATAGCCGGCAAGAATACTGCACAGTCAATGATATGTATGTCTAAAACCGGCTAGCTTGACATGCGACGCCTTTACTGTTCTGCGTGGCTAGGAGCAGCGAGTGGAACTCACCTCTTAACCCTCTAGATGTTCACTTTGAAAGGACGAAAAGAGTCCTTCGGCTGCCTTGCAGAGTTATAGGTTTCAAGCGGGATACAGCTCGATAAAGTCCTCCGCATATCCACCCTCACTTGAACAGATGTGCTAGTAATTCATTTCGCTGAGACAAATTGGGCGAAGCAAACGGGCACAGGATCGGGCCTGTCGTCCCCCCCTGCTCCGAGTCAAACGAATGTGGAACGTTCGTCTTCCTGATGCCGCTGCTGTTCTCGCTATCTGTGCGCTGCTTTGTACCTGCACCGTATTGTGTTGAGGAGCACACATGCTTAATTTGAAGATATACGAAGAGAGTGATGTTCAGTTTTCAGGCTTTCGAGTCAGAATATACGTCCCTTGGACAAACTTACCTTGAAGTCATGATTTCATCAGATCAGGGGTTCACGTATTTGTTAAACACAACCTGAGTCTTCCATAGGTTTATTTTCCGTCCTGTCTTGATTTTGGTGTCGTAATCTTTTGGATTCTTTTCTGAAGTTCTTCTGGAGACCTTAGGAGGATTAGTATATCGTCCGCAAATCGCGGATGGCTCTGGTGGTGCCCGTTCATTTTGAAGCCCACATTTTCTCAATGAAGTGTGTTGTGCATTTTTTCCAGGGCTGCTTTGAATATCTGCGGTGATATTGCACCACTCTATCGAACGTCAATTTTGATTTCGAATTATTCTGCATTTTCGTGAAATTTAATACTAGTCGTTGAGATCTCGTAAGTCACGATGTGGGAGGGGGGACTCTGTAGCTTTTTCTGATTGCTGATTTTCTAAAAATCAATCGACTTCAAATTGTTCATCATCTGAACAGCACAGTGGCCTTAGGTGGATGTTATCATTTCATTCAACCCGTCGTTTCTTAATCTGATCCAAAAGCCTTAATCAAGATCATTTACAAATGATCCAATTACGGTCGACCACTACTCAAGCCTCCAGAGGCCCACTGCCTTCCGCACAGCTCTCGACCGAGCAGATCAGCCTATTGGCGACTCAACTCATTGGCGATGGACGGCATTCCAAGGCAACAGTAGATCTGGCCGGTATGCGACTCAGAACCTGTTACTCTGCCTAAGCCGCCATCGAAATTCTTGCCTCGCAACACATTCTGTGAGGCTAACCTATGTTGAACGTACCTCAGGCTAGCGAGTAGGTCACTACGCAGTCAGCGATTATACTTAAATTTAAGGCCATTGAATGGTTGGAGAAGTAGCTGGCGCGTACTGTATATGAGTGTAAAATTCGCGAAGCATCTGATGCTGCGACTCTGCCATATTCTGGTGAGTTTTGTCGCAGGTCTCTTGCTGTTCGAAAAATTGATTTATAGCCGCCTTTTTCGTCAGCGATGTGTGAAGATTGAAATAGCCCGAAAATTCGAGCATAAATTAGTCTAGACGACGTTGCAGCAGAGTTGACACTTAGAATTCGCTCTAGTCTCTACCGATTGCTATGCAGACACGGTAGGGAAAAAGTTACAGAAGAAACACAACTCCTCCAATACAAGATTTGGAAGCGTCTTTCAGCGCACGCTTCCCTATGGAAGAGGCCATTTTAGCAGGCCACGCCTCAACCGTATTTGAGCACCTGTAATGCCAGATGCGTCTCGCGTCATTTGTTCGATAGAGTCATTTTACACCCATTACGAACGATGATTTAGGAGCTGCTGCTTCTTATGTGCTACCGTATAAACATAACAGTACGTTTGTACTTCAGAGTATGCTAGCTACCGCATAAATCTTCCAAGATCACATTTCATGGGTATGACACGACCCCTTGTACGCCACCTTCTCATATTATGAAATCCGCATACTTGGATCGTCACTCCTTTTCATAAGATGGGCAAATGAACGAAGATTTCAAAGGCATGAGGAAAAGTAATCATTTCAACCTTTCAATAGGGTTTTTGCACAGTTGGAGTTTTGAATTCTACGACTAAATCATGGCCACCTTTCATTTCTTTTTCATTTGTAATAGATAGATTAATTAGCCCATGGTTGCTACTTAAATAATATTCGTTTGCGATGTAATATATCATCTACATGTAATATAGAAGCGCAGTACCCTGGCCCATAGTTGCACACGAAAAAAGTACCCGACGGGACTCGCCTGCCGTAGTAGATATATGGACAGTAAGCGGCAGCGCAGCCAACAGCGCATGCTTCAGCCGAGACAATCTGAAAACAGGCTTTAGTGGACAACCAGCAACACTTGCAGCCTTCTTACCTGAGTATAGTGTCCACATTGGTAGCCTGCAGCGCACTGATTGGTACTGTAAGAGTAGACCAATCTTTCACTGTACAAATCCCTGATTATAGATCTGAGATTGGCTCTCAAGTACGGCTCGTTGCTCCACCATATATTTTCACCAATTATTTGAAATCCATATTTCTGTGATCGATCTGAATACGAGCGATGCATGGCAGTACATCGAACTGCCCAGTTCAAAGCCATGTCTGCTAAGTTTTGATTCCATACCTAAAGAGATTATGTATTCCTTAATGAACAGATGTCCGTTTGAGACTGGTGAGAATGAATTTCTGAAGACGATTACGAAGGTACTAATAGTTTCGCTACAGAATTGGAAACCGTTTCTGTCTCTTTTCTATTAACTTCCAAGCAACTTCGAACGCGATATACTTATATAGAACGCAAACAGTGGTGTCAGTCCGGTGATAAACCAGTGCCAACATTTCGGCCGTTGTCTCACGGGCTTTCCTCAACGCTGAGAGGTGGTTTGGCTTCGAAAGACTATTTTGTTGTTCGCAGGCACTGTAACGTTTGGAGCCAAAAGGCTAGCGTTCGATCCTGCCACTGGTTAAGCAACTCTTCCGCAACAGGAGCGACATGCCTCATCCAATCCGTTCAGAGTTCGTGTCCTTTGTTCCGGTTGAGGGTGTCACAGGACCGGATGATTAGTGCCTCATTAACACTCCCAATAGCCAGTGTCTTTCCCGGTCTGGCGTGACCTTGCTGTGAGCGTGCTGCGCAATCCCGAAGGCCTTTCCCATTGTGCCTTGATTTGGTTGGGGAAGGGGGAGAAACTTTGTTTTCATCAAGGGTGCTTCCTTACCACTTCGTGTCATTCATGCTCGTCCGCGATCATCCATTTTCCCCAGTATGACCACCAACGCATGAACGAAATACTCTATCTTTGATTCGTTGGCTATAAGCAACTTCCAATAACTTGGAAATCTTCCAATTCAACAGTTTTGAATTCTAGGCAAAAGGTAACGTTAACCCAACTTTAAAAATCTGTTGGCAACGCTTTTGCTGCACAGTAGTAGCCCTCTACTTACATTTTGCTTAATTGACAGGCCAATATGATTAATATAAAAGCATGAACTTTCGCAGTAGTTATTATTTCCTTTCAAACTACCTTCTTCACTTATGATAAAGATTTATGTACTGGTTCTGAACAGTTTGTGCAAAGGGTTCGTACTGACAACGGGTTTGTACCAGATACTGATGCCTGAAAAAATATTTTCCAGGCAAGCATTTCTCCTCCCATGGTGTCGCGTTTTAAAAGTCGCAGATGGCCACATGAACGCTAGGCAGATACTGTAAGACTCTAAGATATTTCTCAGGCCAGAGATTAGGCCATCTGTACTGCTGCTACAGTGCTCGTGGATGGAGGGGCAATCTTTAAAACTTTTACTTGCAGAAACACATTGAACTGCCGAAGAACAACTTGTTTTTATCAACTTACACAACTTGCGGTAAAAACGCAATGGCAGTAGTCAGCGAGTTCAGAAGAGCAAAACTGTGTTTCTTCAGGGATCAGCAATCTATTGAATGGAGCATATCATATTTATACTGTAAGTGATATCATCTTAACCACGGCAGCCCCCAGCCAGTTGACAGGTACTAATACATTGGTAGAATGTGAAGAAACTTTACCTACAGAGCTTGTAACTTGCTAGCTGCACAGAGTTTATCGCTTGTTTGAATTATCGAATCTATGAGCATGGGTGACGATCAATCCACCAGTGAACCATGATTTCAGTTCAAAACAGTATCCTTTTAGCTAGCCGGCGGATAACATGAGAGCAAATAATGGGCTACGATGTACATTACCTAGGGCATAGGATGCACTGTCACCACTTAGTCCAAGCAATGATCGTACGGATTACAACTACCGCGGTATTCAAGCAGGTTTATCTTATTGAATATTAACAAACCAAAGTGGATACAAAACCAGACGTTAGCTGAGAAACGAACAAAGTATCTTTTATAACCAGGTATATGAACGATTCATGGTTCAAAGTACCAAATACAACAGATGGTACAACAGTTTATTGCCGACGCGTTTCGCTACATAGACCGCAGCAACATCAGGGCTAGGATCATAGCCAGGCTGCCTAGCCCTGATGATGCTATGGTCAACGTAGCGAAAAGCGTCAGCAATAAACTGTTGTACCATCTGTTGTATTTGGTGCTTTGAACCATGGTTCTTTCAAACACTTATTTACCTAACTATGGGCCCAGAATCAAAAACCTGAAGTATTATTAATTTGGAGATATTTTATCTCTTTTGGGAGGGGGTGGTGGGGAAGGATAGGTTACATCGTGGTCTGGTTGTCACACTGAGCAATCAGCTGTCAGATGGTTAAAAGTGATGTGCCACAACAAGAGGCGCTCGCATCAGACATATGGCCCTACATTTCTTCCATTCGGATACTGCCACACCAGAACACCACACTGCTCCTGTTGTTCTCAAGTCAACCCCTTAGTGTCGGTTTATTCACTGGTTCACCCGAAGCCACGTGAGGTGCATCCTTTCTTCATGGGAAATAGCGGCTAAGACAAATTTTGTCCTCTCTCAAAACTCGAACTATGCACC